ATTACTGTATATCTTATTTTCCAATGAATGTGGTTAAAATCAAACAATAAACGATGGAAATGGTACCCAACGGTTAAATCATCGGGATCGAGATGCCTCTCATACCTCGATACGTATACGGTACGGATACGTATACGGATACGTCAGAAAGAACAATCTCTAATAGCAAATTCAAATAAACTGTAAACATGAATATTTTACTAAGTAACAAAACATTCTTTGTATAAATAAAAGAATTCACAGAATGTGTTGGTTTGTTGGTTATTACCCTACTTTCCAAAACTGTTCGCAATGTGACATTTTTTTTTACAAACCTTTACTTACAGCAAAATTGAAAAACATCCCCCCTAAAGAATTTCTACATTTACAGTTATGTGAAAAATACCTAAAGAAAGACTTTTTTCTCTATTATTAAGCTGCGATTATACCTCAAGATGAAAAAATATCGTGCGTATTAGTCCTCTTGTAGTCGTCACTTCCTTGCATTGTCAGCGCTTCTTTGCACTGTTGTTCTCGTGTTGTCGCTTCTTTGCATTGTATCCTTGCATTGTCAACGCTTCTTTGCATTGTTGTTCTCGTGTTGTTGTCACTTCTTTGCATTGTAATCCTTGCATTGCCAACGCTTCTTTACATTTTTGTTCTCGTGTTATCGCTTCTTTACATTGTTGTTCTCGTGTTGTCGCTTTTTTACATTGTTGTTCTCGTGTTATCGCTTCTTTACATTGTTGTTCTCGTGTTATCGCTTCTTTACATTGTTGTTCTCGTGTTGTCGCTTCTTTACATTGTCGTTCTCGTGTTATCGCTTCTTTACATTGTTGTTCTCGTGTTATCGCTTTTTACATTGTTGTTCTCGTGTTATCGCTTCTTTACATTGTTGTTCTTGTGTTGTCGTCGCTTCTTTGCATTGTAATAATTGCATTGCCACGCTTCTTTACATTTTTGTTCTCGTGTTGTTGCAGGTTTCTTTCACTGTCGTTCCAGCATTGTCGTTGCTTTCTTACATTGTTGTTCTAATTTTGTCGTCGGTTCCATGCATTGTCGTCCTAATCTTGTCCTCGTTTCCTTACATCGTCCTCCTTTTGTCGTCGTCGCGTTCTTACATTGCCGTACCCATATTGTCGTCGCTTCTTTACATTGTTGTCCCCACGTTGTCGTTGGTTTTTTGCTTTGCCATATTTTTGTTGTTGTTGCTTCCTTACATTGTCGTCATCGCATCCTTACATTGTTGTCCTTGCGTTGTCGTTGGTTTCTTGCCCTGTCGTCCTCTTGTTGACTTTGCTTCCTTACATTGTCCTCCTCTTGTTGTCGTCATCGCATCCTTATATTGTTGTCCTTGCGTTGTCGTTGGTTTCTTGCCCTGTCGTCCTCTTGTTGACTTTGCTTCCTTACATTGTCCTCCTTTGTTGTCGAACGTTCCCGGTAGCTCAGTAGGTTGAGCGCTCGCTTCGTGATCGGGGGGTCGTGAGTTCGAATCTCGGCCACGATTGACCCAAGTCGATAAAAAATGGGTAGCAACTGTTCCTTCGCCATGCGCTTGGCACACTGAAGTGAAAGTTGCGGGTCCTTCGGATGAGACCTTAAAAACCGAGGCCCCGTGTCACGGCAGCCGTTGGCACGATTAAGATCTCTCACTGCTCAATGGCCCTGAGTGCCGAGTAAAGGTCAAAATTTGAAGCCCTTCAACGGTATATGGTGACGTCTCTATATGAGTGAATAAATCTCGAATGGGACGTAAAACAACATACAATTAATCAATCAATCCTTTTGTTGTCATCGTTGTGTCCTTACAATGTTGACCCCGCGTTTTCATAGCTTCGTTGCTTCCTTGCCTTGTCGTCCTAGTATTCTGGCTCCATTATAATTCTCTCTTCCACGCTTAATCGCCTTCGGTCCGTATTCTAAGATTTATTGATTGATTGTATGCTGTTTTACGTCCCATTGAAAATTTTTCATTCATATAGAGATGTCACCATATACCGGTGAAGGGTTTCAAATTTAAATCTATATTCGGCACTCAGGGCCATTGAGCAGTGAGGGTTCTTCATCATGCCAACGCCTACCGTGACAAGTTTAGAGGTCTCATCCGAAAGACTCGTGACTTTCACTTCTAGTGCCGGGCGCTTGGCGAAGGAATAGTCACTTCCTTTGTTTACGTCTTAGGTTTGAACGGCGAACGAGAATTAAACCTGGGCCTTCCCATCACGAAGCGAACGCCTTACCACTGCACTAGGTCCTTTTCTAAAAGAGGAGGAATGAATGATCCTATCAGCAAGCCTTATCTGATACCGCAATTGCCGTACTGAAATTTTGACATACATAAAACATTTCCTTTGCTCAAAACTATGCAACAGTGAACAACTAAATAAAAATACAATTTTAAAAAATACCTCGATACAAGTTTATGTGATAAATTTGTGCGAATTTCAAAAATGAACAACATTCGATAATCATAAGAATTGCTGTTTATTTATATTTATTCCCCGTCACTAAATAACCAGATAGACAAAACTTCAGCAATCTTCTATGACCATTGCAGTTACTGAACCTGAAGGTGTAAATTAAACATTGATACATTTTTTGTACTTTACAATGATGTGCATTGAAGTTATGAAATTTTTTGTTTGAATGAAACATTAATTGAACTTTCTTTTGAACGTTGTTTGTTACATAATAATTAAAAATATGTTTAAAGGATAAAGAAGAAAACGATTTTTTGTAGCGGAAAGTGGGCGGGCAAACGCCAGTCTGCCCAGTGAAGGAGAGCCCTGGATTGTCGTAAATTTTCTCACATGCTTCAGTCCAATATCTGTAGAGCAGGTACTCCATAAATACAATAGCCAATCAGATTGGAGTTTTAGTCTACATAAACACCGGGTTACCGTGTTCGATCGGTACACGTGTTATGATAACTTCAATAGACATGACAAATACATACTTGAAATTAAGTAGATAGTGAATTCTACATATTAAAACAGGAGTCTCTCACTCTGTCAACAAAGATACAATGATGCACATTGAAGTAGTATTTTTTTCGTTTGAATGGAACGTTTGGGTCTTTCTTTTCGAATGTCAATTGTAACATAATGGCACGTCCATTTTTTATGCCCCCGTATCGAAGGGTATACGCCTATCTCTGAAATGTAAAAGAACGAAAAAGTAACATGCTCCGTGAAGCATGTTTTATCTAAACAATTTCGCTGTACATTTTCTAAAGATCATCGGAAAACACCAAATTTTTGCATATTGATTGGAAAATACGTATAGTTTTTACCTGCAGAGTTTTACTGATTTCATGCGAATAGAGCGCTCACAATAGAACTTGTCCGCGAACGTTTCTAACAAACTTCGTATAGTTTTTGCCCTATCCGTCCGTCTGTCTGTCTGCCTGTCTGTTTGTTCACAAAAACATTAACATTGCTCATAACTTTTGATTGGTTGGAGCTATGGCTTTCATATTTCACATGTGTATTCCTTGTGACAAGACCTTTCTTTGGGTAACATCATATTTGACCTGTTGACTTTGAAGTTTGACTCAGTTTTACAAATTTTACCCAACTTTACCCCTGGCCATATTTTTTGAACAGTTGGTGCTAGGGCTTTCATACTTCATACTTTCATACTTTAAAATTTAACCTTCGCTATAAGTTGCCATACGGGGGCATCACAAACACATTTTTTTTTAGAAATGACAAATCAATATTCGTCACAATGATTAAGACACCCCACTCTCTGAGACTAGCAACTGGGAATTTTATGAAATTGGGGTCACAGACGTAGAAATTATCTACATTAAATTATATGCAATGTCTTTGCTCAAACTTTCCTCTGGTCTGTTTCCGTTTTAAAATGATGAAAACCTACAATTTCAATGTTCAATATATATCTAAGGAGGGTAATAAATTGTAAATTATCGTGGAACATGTTCATAATCTGGAAAATCGTGGATATGTATGAAATTTATGCTTGGTTTCATTTCAATAGCCTGTCCTCGGGAAAACATTTTTCACACAATTTGTTTATTGTGATGTATTTTTAGATCCTTGATTATTCTCAAGATCCATGGTAACACATGTCCTTTTTAAACCTTATGAAAAGAATGAACTAAATATGTTACACACATTTTTAAAAAAAATATTCTGACATTCTCCAATACCCAAACTTAACATCTTTATCTTAAAATAACCAGAGAAGGTTATTGCCGTGTTTTTTAACTAAAGAAAAATTATGCGATAATCACACTAATCACAAGATTCATTTATTTGTTGAGAAGAAGGAAGTAAATTGATTGAAGATCAGAAAATCATCATACCTTTACAGGGTCATATTTCATACAACTCCATAGTCTAGTAGTGTCTGCAGCCAGGCAGAATAAACAGAGACCAATCGAGTCCACCGAATCAATACTTCTATAAATATGAGGAGGATCGTAGCCTCTTTACTTTCTCCATTGACAGACCGCTGCTCTCAACACATGTAAGTATCACTCGTGTTTGTTACTCACATTCTCTTTTACACATTTTCTTGTTTAACTTCAATATAGGAAAAACTTTGCAGAAATTAATTAGAACATTGCAGTATTAATATCACTTGTATGCTTGTAAACTTTTTTAGAAAATATATAATATTCATTTATCACCTTTACCTTATTTGTTTTATATTTCAATATGCGAGCACAAAATTCAGAGTTTTGAAACTTTATAAAACAATACTTCCGCACAACTACTTCTGTGTCAATTAAGATTTTAAATGCAGCTCACCTTATTAAAAGATGAAATTAAACATTTTTATAAAAACTGAAATACTTTTATCATTGAAAATTCATCACATGTTCTAATCAAATACTTATCTTATACAAAGTACCAGGACGAAAAACATTTTTAAAAACTCAAAACGGTATAAAAAAAAATGCTTTAAAGACTCCTGTTACTCATGTAAAATTATATATATCCTACTTCTCTGTTGTGCACATTTATTTTTATTTTGTTTCAGATAAATATAAAATGAATGCTTTTCACAAGAAAGGTCGATCACAAAGTCTGCCTAACTGGAACGGCGACGACGATAACAAATTACATTATAGACTGACCATCATGGGTGCCGCCGGGGTGGGTAAGAGCTGCATTATCTCCCAGTTCCTGTACGATCGCTTTATAAGTGAGTACAAAGAAACGGTGGAGGAGTTTCATCGCCGAGAATACACCGTGAACGGCCGAGACTTAGTTCTTGACATTCTAGACACCGCTGGTGCACATTCATTTCCGGCCATGCGCAGACTGGCTATTTCAACGAGTGACGCATTTGTTTTGGTTTACTCATTAGACGATGAGTCTTCGTTTCAAGGCGTGAAATATTTGCGAGACATAATCTTAAGTGAACGAAAAGGTGAACATGTACCCATAGTCGTCGTTGGAAATAAATCGGACATTTCAGATGAGAAGAGAGCCATAATGCGTCACACAGCTGAATCCATCGTGTGTTTTGACTGGGGTAATGGTTACATTGAAGCTTCGGCAAAAGACAATATCAATGTTGTCGGAATATTCAAAGAAATTTTGAGACAGGCCCATGTTGAGCTGAGTAATACGCCACTACCCAAGAGGAAACGCTTTGGCTCAACGTCGTCAGAGGGTTCTGACATTTCTTATAGTTCGGAGACGAGGAAAAGAAATAGTTGTGTTATTTCGTAGCCTTCTTCGATATCATTCCTTTTGTATTTTGTGAAAAAAAGTTATTTATTAATAAAACTTGAAAAAAATATTGCATCTGAGGAAACTTGATTATCATGTCTGATTGACCGTATATTCCTGCATAAAGAGAATGCCGTGAATATAAAATACTAGTATATTTTTAAAAACAACAAATTGCGTTCGTGTTAGATGTACTTTCATTTTACCCTTTGCCCAACACAAGGCAGAAGAAGAGGCCTGGTTAGTCTCCTTCTTTCAATGAAACATGACCTTAATTCTTTTTAAATTGATAATTACAAAATAAGTTATACACTTTGACACAGTAAATTTTCTTGAATTCTGTGATTTGATGAAATGGTATCTCAATGCAAAGGTATTAAGAATTCTAAATTTTGAAAGCAGACTGTAAAGATAAAAATCATAAAGTGAAAATCCATCCTTTGTATGAAATTTACTCATTTAAGACTTTATAGTTCTATAAATCTATAGTGCGACATTGACTCTTTTAGAAATACTATGCAAGATAAGTTAAATATTTACTTTCATTGTAATTTCTTTATGAAATCCATCAGAAATGTACAACGTTCAAATATCTATAACACACGCGAAACGTTGTCACCGCGCGGTAGAATACACAGTAAGAACTATATACATTTTCAATATCTAGGAACACCAAAATGTAAATTGTTTAAACTCAATTTAATGAAAAACAATTACCCTGTTAAATTAACGTAAAACACAACAGCTGTGCGTTTAAAATCAATTTGTCATTTTTTTTCTCGCAATGTTCATTTGCGTTATTTAACTTTCCAACGTCACAAACGGCTCTTACGTCTATTAGGCACACCAGTTCTGAAAGGCGCTAAATTCATAATAAAGATTGAAGAAATAAACAATTATGAAGAGAGAAAATTAGAGAATGTAAATATAAGCATTGAATTCTTATTTTTGGATGTCGTCGGTCCTATAACACACCTGGCCGTGCCGACAAATTAACATACCACGCTAACGCGCGGTATTCAATTTGTCGGCACGGCCAGGTGTTTTATAGGACCGACGACATCCAAAAATAAGAATTCAATTCTTAAATATAGCCTGAGAGAGTGCATATGTGCATGGAACATAGTTATTTTAATTTCATCGAAAGAAATCTAATCACATTTGCTGCATTTAGCGTATAGGTCTATGTGCTTTTGTATTGGCTAATACCTTTGTTAGAGTAAGGCAGGATTTATATATCATTTATACTTTTGCTAGAAACCGCCTCTATCCTCATTATGTTCCCGTTTCAGGTCTTCGTTTACTAGTTAACGTGGTCTTTTCTTTGGTATATATCAATAAAACACTTTTCTAGATCATGGGTTAAAGCTGTAAATGTATCGTTTTTTAGAATCTGTGTCTCTTTTGCTCTTGTCAGTTATATGCATCACTTGCACTCAAAAGGTCATAGACAAAAGGCTTCCTCGTGCGTCGACGAAATAAACAGAAATTTCATCTCGCTGAGGGAGCAATATGCCTTTAAATTTATTTCTACAGAGAATTCATGAAGAAAAGAAATTCCAGAACATCAGACTCGTCTCTACTTGGAGTTCATTTTTATCTGGCCTATCTGTCTGCAAAATACTCGGTCAAGAAACTGCATCCCGGACCACTAACGGTCATTCCATTCTAGTACAGATGAAAATCGATACCAATCTCAGTACCCGAGTTTTTTCCTGCAGAAATCTGTACTTCATCATCAGCGTTAGACAGTTTAGCTGATTAAACGACGAATTCATGTACATAAAGAGAAACACCTTTCTACGTATATTTCAAACTCAACAATAGAATGACAATATTGGATACATGTACTAGTAAAGTATGGACAGAGCCCGTCGTTGTTGTATAGTGACATTTTTCTCCAGGAGAAGTCTTATTAGATAAATCTAGCCTTAACCCAGACAACCCACCACACCCTTCCAACCACCCACCCCGTCCACCCACACCCCCCAAAAAATTCCGGGTTAACATTTTGAAGGAGCGTACTAACAGTTTCGTAAGATTTATCGACCCTCTAATAAGAGAGATAACTCTAACAGGGAAAAATGACTACCATTCCTTTTTAAATGTGAATAGAAGAAAGGCCATTTTTGTCAAACTTTGTCAGACAAAGTGTGCCTTTTTAAAAATTATATGCATTTTTATCATAATTTAGATTTCTTTTTTGGAAAATCATAAGAATTAAAGTAGAATTTCATTTGAGGGAAGAGGAGGATCAAGAACCTTAATAAACATTTGTTGTTTTCGGTGTGATGAGTGTTTCTCTATAGTCTAGTACTGATTTTTAAAAAGAAGGCTAGAAATAAGTTTTAACGGCAAATAATTATTATTTGGTCCAGCATAGTTTTTAACCTATTTCGAGTATGCTGAATCCGAAATAATATGCTGGTCTTCATGAAAATGGCGTTAGAAAGGTCAAAATGGCGATTCAGAATGGCGGACATCCAATTTTTCTAATTTTCTCTTAATGTCTTTCAAATAGGAGAAAGAATGTGTGAATATCTCACTGAGTGTAATGCAACTATAAAAATGATAAAAGAATGCTAACATTATTACTTTAATTGAGAAAATTTAGTCGTTTCTACACTTAATTCGAATTTTCTATGATTTATTTGTCTATTGTTTCTATATTCTGCTTTGTTCGGAATTTTACATTTGCAAATATCCATCACTATTCTACAACTGAATGATGGTGCAGCTGTAATTTATAAGTCAAAATGGCGATTCAAAATGGTGGATATCCATTTTTTCTAATTATTTCTTAATTTCGTTCAAATAGGAGAATGGATGTATTGATATCTTATTGAGCGTAATGCAATTATGAAAATGATAATAGAACACTAATATTATCACTTTGATTCATAAAATTTAGTCGTTTAAATTTGAAAGTTGTGTTAATTAGCTCAAAATGGCGATTCAAAATGGAGAACGCTAGAATTACATTAATTACCCAAACTGCTTAATTCTGAGTCGTTTTGCAGAAAATAAAAGGAAATTAATTACAGATTGCATTTTTAAAATAATAAAATAATGTTTAGATATTCAATAAAACTATGAGGATATTGTTGTTAATGACTTATAATTTTTATGACACTGATCTTTGTTTTATTACTTCTATTATTAAGATAAGCTTTTGACTACATCTACGAAGAACTTTTACCTATTACCTATCTAACCATGCCTCTTAATATAAAAAGTTAATAATATCACACAATAATTGCTGTTTGGAGGACAATATGACAATTAAGCTACCCCAAGAGTAGTATTCCCCAAGCCTAAAGGCGAGTGAACATTGTAGTTCGAGGGTTGCTAAATTATCTCAGTTGTTGGAAATTTTTGATCTACTTTTAGTCCATGCAGTGTAGAAAAAAATAAATGTTTATGTTCATGTGGAAGGTCTAGTGCAACATAACTTAGTTATATGATTTTTAAAATGATGGACCACAACCAATCAGAGAGCTAGGAATTATTAAATCATATAAATTTGAATGTAATTTACTATATATCAACATATTTATTAAGAATTATCAAACCCAGTATAATATACGTAAACCATAAATATTCTTGATTGTCTAGCTCTGATTCTGCGTCCCTGCATGAGCATTTTGTTATTCATAGCCAACAAAAAATCAACTGTATTTACAAATATTTAATGTTGTGAACGGATAATCTTGTAATGTTAGATTCAAATTTAAGCGACTGCAAAATTCCTTTTTTTAAAGGAATATTGTATATGTTCAAAATCAAAATCGATAATCCAAACATACTTTTTTGTCATACTCGGATGGAATTCGGTGCCTATTGTTTTGAAATCGGAAAGAGGAAAATGTTTGTGTGTAATCCCCCCTCGATTCTTGATACAACCATACACTATCCTAACAAAGTAGTGTGGATCAAGTTGCCTTGTAAAGTTCTTGGAGTGTTCAAGGAAATTTTGTTGTCAAGAGAAGTTTTGACTAGATCAAAGTCAAGAATGGCTTCGACCTATTGGTACGAAACTTGTACGTGATAGAAATCACAAGGAATCTAGATCTGCAGGTGCTTTTAGATCGCACAATTGTACAACTTTTCTCCCCAAAAATGCACACAATGTGATTCCAGATGATAAAGTTTGAGAATTTTCTTGCTAATGGAATGACCTTTCTACCCAAAAAGACAACAATTTAAATCAATATGGTCACAAAAGAGAAAGCTACATGTCTTATCTGATATATTTTCCCATTTTGCATAAGGTTTTGGAAAACAAAATAGTCTTTTAACATTTGAACATAAATGTGTTGTTCCTTGAGCTGTTGAGAAGACCAAAATTCCGAAGACTGACTAAACATATAGCATTTAAAGCTGGAATAGAGGATGTTGGGGGGAAATACTAAGCTCTTACAAGTGCTAATTTCAAAAGCTAGTGCAAAGGGTTCAATGAAGTCGGGCAAAAATTTCTTCAGTTATATTTGATGGTGTGCTGAGGGATGTTGAAGTGGAAGTGCGAGTTGATAATGACAGCGATTCAGCAGTGATTTTAGGTGGACAGGGGTTCAGAGCTTTGGAACACGGTCAAATATGAAGAAAACTAGTCGAGTTTGTTTTAACTATTTCCAGAAAAAAATAATACTTTTCTAGTATTATTTTTTGTTTGATCATTGAATGGACTAATCAATATAATCAGCAACAATCAGAACAAAGGGACACCAAGAGAAATTCCTCTTCCTATTAACTTTGCTATACCTTGGGAAAAAAACATATTACCCTGTCTCCTCCCACCACCCATTATGAAAATCATTGTTACTGCTCTCTATGTATATGGGAGGGAGGGAGGGAGGGGGAAGGGGTGTGTTGATGGTTGAAGATTGAGTGAAATGCGAGAATGATATTGGTTAAAGCATTCTGCGCTAAGAGAAGAAGCAGTCTGTAGTTCTTCAAGCAGTGCTCTAGTATTGTGCTTGAGTGCCCTCCTGCACCTTTAG